GCTGGCTCATGTTAAGTTTTTCGTCTACCAAGACCCCCAGGTCCTTCTCCACCGGGCTGCTCTCAAGGACCACTCTTTCCAATTTCAATTCTGTGTTTTTATTTTATCAGATCAAGGAGTGTGCAGATGAACCAGTTGGCAAAGGCTTCTTGGTGTCGTGTTTGGTGGATCACAGAGGCAACATCACGGAGTACCAGTGCCATCAGTACATCACAAAGATGACAGCCATTATCTTCAGTGATTACCGGCTGATCTGTGGCTTCATGGACGACTGCAAGGCTGACATCAACCTTCTGAAATGTGGCAGCATTCGGCCCGGGGAAAAGGTATCCAGAGATACTGATAGAGGGGATCAGGTCTTATTATTGGCTCACTCTGTCTCCTTCCTTCCTCTGTCCACCCCAAAAGAGAATGGTCCTTGCTGCAGCGTGACCCTGGGTACTCGTACTGACTGTAACACTGTGCTGGTTTTTGCCATACAGGACTGGAGTGGTGGTTGATGCAGAGAGCAGTTTGTGGTCATTAGGTGTGAGTTTATCACCATTGTGCTGTCTCTCCCTCCCTGCATTAGTAATGCAGGCAGTAAGTGTGCAGTGCTGCATGAGGGAGTGCCTTGTTTAATGGTAAGTTTCTACCTTTAGGGATAAAATTACCCTGTGAGCTATTCATGAGGATGTAAAAGGATGTTACAATAATAAGCTTTTCCCTTTAAAAGAAAAGAATAAATGCCAAGAAGAAGAAGACAATCGGATGCTTAGTTGGAAGAAGTCTTTCTTGGCTGAGATGTGTGCTTTGTGTCTGTAGAGTATTAACTGAAGTCCTGCTGTATTCTAGCAGCAGAAAGCACAAAGTTCAGTGCTTGTCTTCAAGAAGAAGGCGGCCCTAGAAGCAGGGGGGGGACTTGCAGGCACTGTGGGTTTAGCCTGGTAGCAGCTGAGTAACCGGTTCTGTCCGTGAAATAAGGGCTGCCTTCTCATCCTGGGCTGAAGGGTCTCATGAAATGGGATGCTGCTTTTAACACGCAGTGTGAATGAGGGATGTCATACAGGAGCCCTGGCTGCCAGGTCTGCCTGTTAGCCGTGGCGTGACCAAATTAAAATCAATTCCAATTAAAATAGCCATGGTTGGGGGAATCTGACTGAGGAAGAGAATCTTGATGTGTTTTCTGAGCATGCCAGATCTCACATTAAAAGCTCCTGGGCTCTTGTGTGTGTAACTTGGCAGCCCCATGGGGACTGCTGTCCCTTGTCTGATCCCAGCCCTCAGGGCACTGACAGGCTGCACTATTCTCTCTGCCCTGAGCACAGCCAGCTCCTGGGTGGCCACGGGCACAAGGCAGCTGGTGGGGGGACACTTCTATGCATGTTCCTCACTTCCTTGGTACCCAACCCGGAATATTATGCCTCGGTTTGTGAAAGCACGGCAGCCTGTCATATAATTTCTTTTGTTACGCTGTCATCTTTGGCACTCAGAGCAATTGAAGTCTTTCTCGCTGCTCTGGGAACAGCTATAAATGGCTATGCAAGTGTTTCTTTTGTTGATGTTCTGTTCCATCCCATTTCTGCTTTGGAGAAATCTCATCTCATTTGCTCCCATCAGATGCCGGTTCAGGTTTTGCTTCCACGCTGCAGCTTCTGAGAGTTGCCTGTAGAGAAATAATCATCGGCCTTTTGTGTGGCTGAGCTGAGCTGTGAATGCGATAAATAGGGGCTGGGCACCTGAGGAGGAGATGGGGCACAGATGTGTCTCTTTTTTATGGAGAGCAGCACTGCTGGCCACTGCTGCACTCACAGCAGGCTGCTGTGCTGCCTGTGTTGCCTTCATCGTGGTAACAGGGATAAACTGCCTTCTTTACCTGTAAACGGTGCCTGTAGGTACTGGGGAATTGCATTGCCTCCTGCCAGCTAAGAGTTTGCCTTTCCCATGCTTCTTTCTTTGTTTTAGCTCCCTTTTTACTTCCTAATTGAATTCTGTTCCTGCTGGTTTTGTTGTTCCTGATGCAGTGTTTTCTGGGCTTTCTTTTCCACGTTCCTCGTTGGCTTTCTCTGCTGCAAGAGCAGTAAAGAGCTGCTTGGAAGTCTCAATCTGTGTACAGCAGAAAGATGTGGATGTGTCATTTGAAAGCATTAAGTTTTGTGATACGTCTCTTTTGTGTTTCTCTTCCTCCAGTTAGAGGGGGAGAAATATTTCGTAGCAGTTTCAGTCACCTTTCCAGTTGGCTGCTGTGCTCTATAGTGACTGTGGTCTCCTGGTGTTTAAAGCTTGCATTGTCTTCATGCAATAGGGATCTAATTTGAAATTGAAATTAGTAATTGTAACTGAGCTGCCTGTCAGAACGGGCTCCCTGCTTTCCTGGTCCCAGTGATAGGTGCTCTTGTAGCAGATGGATGGATGGTGGATTGCTGTGCTGGAGCTGATTTGGGTTTAGCCAGGATGTCCCAGATGGAACTGATTGTTAGGCATAATGGGGGTGACTTCAGTGTAAGTTGTTATGACCCATCCCAGGTGGAGTGAAGTCTGTTGGGACGAGCTTCTGGAAGTGACAGTAAAGCAAACAGGGATGGCAGAGCCTGAGCTATATTGGGGGGTGGGGAAATCAGAAAGGGAATAGTAAGAAATGTGGGTTTTTAGGTTCTGTCTTGGCCTAAAGTTGTGTGCCCAGAGGCTGAATCTTGGTCTGAAGAGTTAAAGTGTCTCAAAGCACGGTGCTGAAGTTGGCTTTGGCGCAGTGTTGGGAAGTTGTTGCATCCTCTGTGGATCTAAATACATCCTTTCATAAGGTGATGGAGGCACCCCAGGTGAGATGATTGCTGTGTGTGTTTAGCAGACCTCTGCCACTGTCAGCATCAATTACAGCATGCATTGGCCAATAATTAAAGCCTTGTAAAACTAGAGCAGCTGTAGCACATTCAGTGAGGTGACAAACAGATCCTGCTTGGGTTTTTCTTCTGCCTTACGGATTCACGGCAGAGATAAGCTGGCAGCCCTTCCCCATGCTCTGTGCCTGGCTGTGTCCAGTTGGGCTGAGATTTAGCATTAACCTTATTCAAGCTTTGACAATCAGGTTGCTTCTTTGTGTCTTTAAAATGAGCAGTTAAGCTGAGGCTCCTCCAAACCTTGTTTTTAAATCCTGTCCGTGTTCTTCCCTTGAGAAGCAGCACGGCTGCCTCCGTGTGCTTTTGAAGAAACAGTCAGGAGCTGCTTCAGCTGCACCTCAAATGGTGACAAAAGTCAGCACAAGTGCTCAGGGCTCAGCTCTGCCTAAAGATGAACCCAGGTGAGTTTAATGCATCTCCTAAGCTGTGTCAGGTGGGCTGGGGAGCGCTCCAAGAAGGCACACATGCTCAGAGGTAGGAAACAAAGGGGAGAACTGCATCTTTCAAGACCTGGCCCTGTTGATTTGCGTGTGCTTCTGTTCACTTTAAGTCTGGTGTGTTTTAAAATTGCTCTAGTACAGGGTAGCCAGCACTGCATGGTGATCTCCAAAACCAAAACCTGTTTGTAAGCTCATTGCTTATTGCATCCCTGAAATACAGCATCCAGTATCCTGCATCTGCAAATCAGGTTTCCTTTAGGTGGTTAAAAATAGGTATCTGTTGACCACGCTGGAAGAAAGCTGGAAGCCTCTGTCCTTCCCAGCAGAAGCAGCTTGCCTTGTTCCTTCCTGCTGGCTGGCTGTGGGATGCTGCAGGTGAGCCTGTTGCACTCCCTGAGCGCAGCACTACTGGAGCAGCTTCCAGTGGCTGTTTTCCATCATTTCCCCATGCCCGTTTGTAATTACTGTCCCCGTCTGACCACAGAGGTTTGGGGAATAGGGTTGGTGTTCAGTGTGGTTATGACTAAATGGCAATTTTAAGGAACGTGGCAGACGTACCCTATAACTAGTATTCTGCAGGTCCCTGTTAGGTCAGTCCTAAAGTGGCTGCTGAGAAATAAGCAGATTTCTTGAGAGGTGGCATCACCTGGCTGGGGTGGAGGTTGGCCAGTTCCCACTCAGAGGAGAAAGCAAACAAACACCAGGGCGTTTGCTGTGTGGTTTGGGAGTTTCCTGCTTTTTAAGAAGAAAGCTACTTTTAGCCCTCTTAAACTGATGTTACATCTGGGTTTTGTGACTTTTAATTGGCAGATCCTGCTTGCACTCCTGGTGTGGCAGAACTAAACCAGGAATGTCAGCACAGAAAGCTGCATGGCTTTGGGTAGTTCTGGTTGTGCTTATGTTAAGGAGTTTGGTAGAAGGGAGGCCTGGAGAGATCAGCTCAAGAATCATTCTTGTTTCTAGAGGAGTTGGACCTGCTGTAAAGGTGTAGGGGTGGAATTCTCTTTCTTAAACACACAGAGAATATAGCAAAAAGGGAATGGAGCTTTGGTCAGCTCTGCCCTGCCTCGCCTGGGCCCTCACACAAAGCACAGCTCTCTGTATGCAGTCACCAGCTGCAGCCCCAGGCCCCGTTGGGTTGTGGGGTGGGGGGTGCAGTGCTGGGACAGGGCTGCTTTGTCTCAGACTTCATCTCCTGCTGGGCACGTTCAAGATTTTAATTCCCTTTGCAGAGGGATTAGCATAGAGAAGCCTACATTTGGTCAGAGTTCCTTTGTGGCCTGTTTAGCATCGCTAATGATCACCACCCAAAGTGGAGGCTTGTCTCAGCATGGAGAAACTTGGGTTTTTCTCTCCCTCAAGTATGTTCTGAGTGTGATGCCGCTGCTTGCCGTTGCCATGGTGCGAAGAGAGCTATGTTGGATGAAAAATAATTTGGCTGTTTTGGTAAACTGCTCCGAGCAGCGTGACTTAAGTAGTGATAATCTCATTAGGGCACATTGAAACAAAGCTGGAGAGCTGTGGGGGTTAGCAGCAAGGTGACCATCGGGGTGCTAACGTGTAAGGCGTGTGGTAGTGCAGGTGTTAACTGATGCCTCATGTCAGCATGGTTAATACTGGACTTGTGGAGGCTGTCTGTACGTGATTTTGTTGCTTAATTTCACAGAGCCATGGGCCGCTTCCTTGTGTGAGTGCTGTGACACGAATGTTTTCTCATTCTTTCCATACAGGACGCTCACTCCCAAGGGGAGGTGGTGGCATGTCTGGAAAAAGGCCTGGTTAAAGAGGCAGAGGAGAACGATCCTCGTGTCCAGGTTTCTGATCAGTGTAAGAAGGCCATCCTTCGCGTAGCGGAGCTCTCTTCGGATGATTTCCACTTGGACCGCCATCTCTACTTTGCTTGCCGGGACGACAGGGAGCGATTTTGTGAGAACGTGAGTTGTCCTCTTGCCTTCCTTTCTGCAGTAATCTATTCAAAATGAAATATAAAACCACATTGGGAAGGGGAATGGAATGGTAGAGTGGAGCCCAAGACTGCAATATCGAGAACCAGCACCTTGTAGCCGTCGCTTCCCAATAAATGTGGAATTGAATTCAGTCACCCAGCAAAAAAGTATCATTTCTAGTGGGTTAATGGGCTGAATTGGCTTACGTGGTTGAGTGGGTATCAGCTGGTGTGAAAGGGAGGGGAGCCGCTCAGATGGGGAGGAGGAGGCAAAGGTAAGCGTGTTCGGTTTGCATTGGCTCTTATCTGCTGATGGGCCGCTTGCTGAATGTGACCAGATTTAAAAAATGCAAACTGTGGTGCAGAAGCTATCGCTGTTGTTTGAAATATTAACTTTAATATATTTCTAGTTTAAAAACGAAATCCCTTCTGGGGTAGTTTAGCCTGTTTGTTAAGCATTAGGCATCTTATCTTTAATGGCAAATGTTGCTGTTCTGCTTCACAGACTCAGGCTGGGGAAGGCCGAGTTTACAAGTGCCTCTTTAATCACAAGTTTGAAGAATCAATGAGTGAGAAGGTGGGTATCTGCCTCACTGAGAGGAATCCTTAATGCAGAAGTCATTGGGTTGTTCATCAGTTCAAACTGCCTCATTCTTTTCCAGCACTGAGGAAAATCCGTCATCTACATGGCCAGATAGCTGACTGCTTTAACAGATGTGCTTGTGTTTCCAGCTACGTGCTGATAGCTTGAATTAATTGCATCCAAGTAACAGCCTTTAAAGTTGAAGGTTTTAAATACATCAAAGCTTTTGGGTGGGTAATTTGGGAAGGCAGGCTTGGAGCTGGGGTGGTAGCGTTGTGACTGTGGTGCAAGTAGATGTGGCCTCATGCTGGGTGTCAGCTTGATGTCATAGAATGGTTTGGGTTGGAAGGGACCTTTAAGATCATCTCTTCTAACCCTCCTGCTATAGGCAGGGACACCTCCCTCTAGAACAGGTTGCTCACAGCCCCATCCAGCCTGGCCTTAAATGCTTCCAGGGAAGGGACGTCCACAACCTCACTGTTTCAGTGCCTCGCCAGCCCCACAGTGAAGGGTTTATTAATGTCTAGTCTAAATCTACCCTCTTCCAGTTTAAAACCATTTATGCTTTGTCCTCTCTCTACATACCCTTATAAAAAGTCCCTCCCCAGCTTTCCTGGAGGCCCCTTCAGGTACAGGAAGGCCACTATCAAGTCCCCCTGGAGCCTTTTGTTCCTTCTCTAGACTGAAAAGCCCCAGCTCTCTCATTCTGTCCATCATAAAATGCCACCAAGTTTTGTCGAGCATGACTTGCCCTTGCTGAAGCTGTGTTGGTTGCCACCAGTCCCCTTATCTTTGTTTTCCACGTCCCTCAGTAGGCCTGGCCTGGCCTGTAGTTCCCTGCATCTTCTTTTTCTCCCTTCTTGGCGAGGCCTTCTTGTACATCATAATGCACAGATTAGAAACAGTGTCCAGATGTCCCAGCACAGGACAGTCTGTACTTTGCTTTCTAAAGCCTTGAAACCAAAAATCTTGAGCAGGAAGTAGCAAGTTACATGGGAAGGACACGTGATTGTTACTGGCATTTTCCTTGTGCCGATCCTGAGGATGTGCTTTTCAACAGCAAATAAAAGCAGTTCTGGAAAGTCTGTCCCTGAAAGCAGTTTGTTTGCAGCTGTATTCATGTAGATGCTTTGGGAAGGTGGTAATGCCTTCAGCCACTTGAGGAGCATCGTTGTAGTAGTTGGAATTAAATGGGATGATATCAACTGCCTGCAAGGGTACAGAGATGGGTGTCTGCAAGGCCTTCTCCAGGAGCTGTGCTGGAGGAGCCCCATGCTGAGGCCTGGAGGGATCAGACTCATTTCCTTTCCTTTAAGTGCATTCGCTGTATGAAAGCTTACCTCCAATTAGTGTATTCAGAGCTGAGGGAGTCATCCCTGAGGGCTCAAAACAAAACTTCATTTTCTACAAACACGCTGCTGAAATGGACTGCTATCTTTGCTTGGCCTGTTTTTGGCTGTACAGAGACGGTGCTGTTTTTGCAGGATCTGGTAAGCTGCCTGACCTTTGTCAGGTACAAATATAAGGTGCTGAGAGGTCAGACAAAGCCACAGCTTTGGTAGGGATGTGCTGAGGGTGCAATTTGCAGGGCACCAGCCTTGGGGATGAGGGGGTTCTGTGAGTTAACACCTCTGTGCATCCACAGCTTCGAGTCCCTCTGCTCCCAAGGCCCTGGGCATAGCATGGAGCACGGAGGAGAGGATGGGATAATCGCACAGTGGGACTTCTAGGTTCTGGAGTAGGTATGGGAAGAAGGGGAGAAAAGGAAAAAAAAAAAAAGTGATGCAACAAAGGGAAGAGAGCTGCAGGATTTTTTTGTTCCTTGTGCTGAGATCGCTGCCCGTTTTCTGCCCTACACACGTGTGGTTTTCCTTCTTTTCAAGTAGTCTGAGAACTGAGAAATTAGCCCAGAGTAGTCTAAATCATCTGCTACTCTCAGATTTAACAGACATGCAATTGAAACGAAAGTTAGGAAGCGGAGCAGTATTTTTAGAGGCCCTTTTTGGAGTGGAACCTCAAGGGAATGGGTTCGGGTTTGGCTACAACACGTCCTTGTGAGTTTCTATGACTAGAAGTTCATAGATGCTGAGGATGCCCCATTTGGATGGCACCACGGGGATCAGGGTGTGTATGGGTGCTGCCATCTGATCGCTGGGCTGCAGAACAGACCCACAGCACACACTGTCTGCAGATGTGACGGGGAAGAATTGCATCTTGAGGGCATGAGGTGATCGTGCCCCAGCACTGGAATAAATGTCAGCGACTCCTCTTAGGTCCTGAGAATGAGTCATGCTCAGCCATTACCTTCCCCAGAAGCTGATGAACGTGCAGTTCTTTGCAATCTGCCTTTGAAACCTTTGATCTGTTGACCTCAGCGTGGATTGTTAGCTGTATCACTGCTGTAGGAAGAGACAAATTTAACCATTGTCCAGCTCAAGAGCATGAATTTTAGAGCCTCGGGCTTCGTTTAAAACACATCTAACAACAGATCCGGCTCTCTGCCGTGAGCACATGGAAGCTAATTGCCATCCTGGTGTCTCCTGCAGTGCCGTGACGCTCTGACAACGCGCCAGAAGCTGATTGCCCAGGACTACAAAGTCAGCTACTCGCTGGCCAAGTCCTGTAAGAGCGACCTGAAGAAATACCGCTGCAACGTGGAGAACCTGCCCCGCTCCCGGGAAGCCAGGCTCTCCTACCTGCTGATGTGCCTGGAATCTGCTGTGCACAGAGGTACGTGGGCTTGATTCAACAGGTACGACTCGCTCGGCTGTTGACTTGAAGTTTCTGTTGGACATTTGAGCCGCAGTGTGTTTATGGTCACCTTTTCCAGGTAAACTTCTGTCTGACTTCGTTTCAAAGGCAGCTTTCCTCCCCGTGATGCTCCTGTCTGTCGGTGGTGTTTTGGGGATTAGAATAGCTGAGACAGCCTCTGACACTGACTGTGGTTTAGGCAAGGAGTTCAAAATGCAAAATAGCAAATCCCACTTGGACCACTGTTGTATAATTACAAATCCTTCCATTCACTGTTATCCAAACAGCCTTTTTTTCTCCTTTGTAGTAAGCATTAACAATGCTGCTAGTTCAGAACACAGAATAGGCAACTTGTTTATTTTCTTAGGGAAAGATGGAGATGTTCTCCCAGTCCTCTGCCTCTTGTAAGTTATGTTCTTCCTTTCTGCTTCGGTAGCTGGGGTAAATGTCTTAACAAAAGCTAGGTAATAGGTACAGGAGCTAGCTAGAATGAAGCTAAGTGTGAGAACGTTCTTTTTATGCACTGAGGTCAGCATGAGCTGGGGAGGTCTTAACACCACAGGTGTAAGAGAGCCCTGTGCAGCAGGACCCTGTTAAAGGTTCCCTGTGAAACTGCCATAATGCATCAGGTGGGCACGCTGTGTCCTCTAGATCTGCTCTGAGGATCTGTTTTTCCCCTTGGCGTGCAGCTGGTGGCTTATGATTCAGCAGCAGGTCTGCATGCTGCAGTGCCTCTGGCACAGAGGGAAGAACTGCTGTAAGGCTGCAAGCAATCTGTGCATTTGTGAGTTGGAATAACTTGTCAGTTCTGATTGATGTGGAAATGCATGCTGCTCTGGGAAGAGTTTTCTTCCTTACCCTGCGGTCGGGCAGGTGCTTTCCTGAATTACTGCTCTTGGGTTATTGACTTCTGCTTTCACAGCAGACAGGTTCTGCAGCGTGGCTCACACTTGAAGCACTCAGTATTCCCCACACCTCCATGGACTTGTGTGATATTGCCTGTAAGCCAGCGTTGCAGCGTAGGACCTCCATTATTGCATGGGATGGTGTAGATGGATAAATAGGTTTGGAGGGGCACAGAACAAAATCCATCACGTTCCTTTTGACTTCCAAACAGTCCATCTACGTAGGATTATGGAAGAGCTTATAGCAGATGTAAGCATCTTAAAAGATAAATCTTTATGCTGCGCTTGGTCTCTATTCTTTCAAACTCAAATCAAGAATCCCGGCCAAGAAACATCAGCACTGAACCACAGTCTCCTCTTGTCCTAGGTCGGCAGGTGAGCAGCGAGTGCCAGGGAGAGATGCTGGACTACCGACGTATGCTCATGGAAGACTTCTCCCTGAGCCCAGAAATCATCCTGAGCTGCCGTGGGGAGATTGAGCACCACTGCTCCGGGCTGCACCGCAAGGGCCGCACGCTGCACTGCCTGATGAAAGTCGTGCGTGGGGAGAAGGGCAACGTGGGGCTGAACTGCCAGCAGGCGGTGAGATGCTCTTCTGTCTCTGCAATCCTGAGCTGCTGGGTTGGTAGAGCTCTGGCAGGCAGCGATTTGTGTGCTGATGTTCTGCCTGGCCACAGAGATCGTGCTGCAGGCAATCCAGCTCTGCCGGGCTCTGCTGAGTGCTGGAGGCAGTTGTGTAATTGTTGTGGGATGAAGTATAACTTGCTGTCTCACAGCTCGCTTGTAATGCTTTTTTTTTTTTTTCACCCCCTCAGAAAATTTTGGGTTGCGTTGCTCTGGATTTTGTATTTGAACTCCAGCAGTTCTTGAGTCCTGGATCCTTGTCCTGGATGTAAGATGTAGGGAAACTTTTTAAGTTTTAAGATCATGGTATCATTAAGGTTGGAAAAGACCTCTCAGATCCCAAGCCCAACCCCAGCCCACCCCCACCATGCCCACGTCCCTCAGTGCCACATCCCCACAGCTCTGGGACACCTCCAGGGATGGTGACTCCCCCCATCCCTGGGCAGCTGTGCCACTGCATCACTGCTCTGTGGGAGCAGAAATTGTTCCTAATATCCAACCTGACCCTCCCCTGGTGCGACATAAGGCCATCACCACTCATCCTTGTTCCCAGCATCCCTTCTCCTTACTATTCCTTTTGTGCTCTAACCCTGGAAGTGCACCAGAATCATCTCCATGCGGGCTGCCACTTGTTCTATTGTTGCCATTTTGCTCAGCTTGAGTGATGGATGTAGCAGTTCAGGGACAGGCATAGCGTGCTGCTGCATAGCAGTGTAGCTGCAGCCACTGAAACAAAGGCTCATTCCTCTCCAAAATACCTTTTTGAAACGAGGTTGATTCTTTTGCCTTTTTTAAACTTTAATTTTGGCCCAGATGTCTCCTGTTTGAAAGCAGTTATTTAATGCTTGTCCCAGCTCATTAGCGCTGCTTCATGTGATATTATGTTTTTAATACTTAATCCTGTTTTTAATGACCCTTCAGCCAATGTCTGTGAGATGAGCCTGGAAAAGTGACATCAATGCAAAGCTGCTGGAGGAGTGCTAATGCTGATGCATGAATTTGGGGAGATGCATGTCCTTGACCTCCTGCAGTACGTGGAACCAGTGTAGTCCATTTCCACTGTAAATGTAGCTTAAAACCCAAGGTCAGGATGTTGCAATTGTGCATATGTTATCACAGAATGATTTGAGGTTTCCATATTTTCTGGGGAAAAACAATGTGGAAATCTCTAATGGTATTTTTTTTCCTAGTTCTCTTAGAATTAGACCACAGCTCTTATATCTGTACAGTGAGTTAATGCAGCAGCAGGGCTTGGTAGTGACCCCCCCTGCAGTTCAGTGATGTGTTCTGGTCTCTGCCAGTGACAACATGAGCAAATTGAATGCTGACTTTATAAAATATGATTTAGTTTTGATTTATTGAGTTGAAATGAGCTTCCTGCTTTTACTTTTTTTCTGGTTAATCTTGTAAGGAAGAGAAAGCAGTCCCGGGTCTGTCTCTAGATATTGGCAGAGTGAAAACCTTGTCCCAGTGCTTTCAGTAGTGTCATTAGGAGCACTGATAATGCAATTTAATTCTTTCATAGAATCATTAGGGTTGGAAGAGACCAATCCCCAAGGCCAACCCCAACTCAACCCACCATGCCCATTGACCTTCAGTGCTGCATCCCCGTAGGTCTTGGACACCTCCAGGGATGGGGGCTCTTCAGCCTGTCCTTTGCAGCAGCTCTTGTGCAAGGAGGTTACACAGAATGGTGCCAGCGAATGAGGATCCTGAGATGGATCCCTAAAAAAGAGAGTAAAACCAGTGCTGCCCATCAACAAGGTACTGTCAGTAATGTGTGGTAGGAAGAATAAATTCCAACATGGGAAGATCCAAGAGGGGCTGAGTTCAGGCTAACATTCCTGATTAAGAAGTGAGTGGTCTTGGCTGCTGACATAATGAATGTTTTAGCACCCGTGCCCAGGCATCCTACACCTGACAGCACCAAAAACACTGAGGCAGCAGGAAGATGCTTGCCTGTGTAGTGCTCTGACCAGTATGCTTAATCTGTCTGTAAGCAAATGTCAGCTTGGAGGGCTTATTCAGCCATTCATCCTTGAGAGAGTAATTCCCATAGTCACACATGATCCTGCTCTGTGTAACACCTGGCACAGTGATCCCAGCTGCCTGCATCCCCAGGCTGAGGCTGGGCATTATTAACTTCAGCCCAGGGAATGCTGTGTTCCTCCCAGGCACTGTCTTCTTGATCATAAGCTTCCTACTGGATAAATAGCCCTAGCTTTCATTTTCTCTGGTTCTCTGATGCTTTTTCTCCCCCTGTGTTTTGTAATGCTAGGGCTGGTGCCCCCTAGAAGTGTGCAGGCTGGTGTTTAGGTGCAAGCTTTGAAGGATGGAGGATAAAATTGTGAGTGTGCTTTTGATTTAGCTGGGCTGAGGACTGGTGACAAGAATCATTAAGTAAGTGTCAAGGTGGTAGCAGCACAGCCCGTTTGATATTGGTGTGCACTTGCATTCTAAGCAAGCTCCTTTTCTTGCTTCCAGTTTGTCAGCTACAAATGTTTGCCTGTAGAACAGCAACGTAAGGTGCTCTGGGGCTGTTCAGTCCTTGGTGTGAAACACGTGGGGCTGAGTATGACCTAGAGTGTGGAAAGCTGCCTCTTCCCCACTACCAATGGATGGAGTGCGTTTGAGTTTCCATCTCTCCCTCCAGCAAATGCTTCCTAAATTCGTGTTTGGAGGCCTGAGGAGGACCCCTGCAGAAGGACTGCAGCATGGGGCAGCAGATGACACTTTATCCTGTGTTTCAGTGGGGCTCCTGGACCTTCTCCATACATGTATATATATATAATTTAGTTTTCCTTTCTATTTCTTTCTTTCTTTCTTCCAGCTCCAAACACTGATCCAAGAAACGGACCCTGGTGCTGATTATCGCATTGACAGAGCCTTGAATGAGGCCTGTGAATCCGTCATACAGACCGCCTGCAAGCACATACGGTCTGGGGATCCCATGTAGGTGCCTCTCACTTACTGCTGGGTTATAACAAGCCTTGAAAGGGCTGCTTAACCAGGCAAGCCTGTGCTGCACAGACTGACATCTGATTTTGTCATGTCTCGGATTGGCTGAGATAATTAAAAGGGTGGAATTGGTGGGTATAAACGTGGTGTGTTGATGCTTGTCCTCTTTGTGAAAGAGAAGAGAAAGATCATCATTGCTGTGTTAGAATGGCTGAGGTACAGTTTGTTGGGAAGCCTGATTTGGCAGCGCTGACTGTTACAAGGAGGCCCAGTCTCTTCCTTACTGTAGTGGCAATGCTAAGTCATGGCTTGAAGCAGTGATGGAGCACCTGGTGGGAAGGCAGGGCCAACCCAGGGGAGCTCTGGTGCGAGCAGTGCACCTGAGTGACTGGAAGGGGTAGAGCCAGGATCCACCTCTTCCCAGACCTCATTTAGGGGTTGGCAGTGGAGGTGAGGGCATCTCTAGCTGGAGATCCCTGCCTGCCTGAGGCCTTCCAAAGGTAAGCAGCTCTTTTCCTTCATTTCTGCATCCGTGGCTGCTGCATTTGGGCTCGTTCTCATTCTGCTGTAGCCAAAGACTTTGCCACTCTGCTATTATCATCCCATTACAGCATTACACTTACCTTTTCTCCTTCTGGTTTCAGGATTCTGTCCTGCCTGATGGAGCACCTGTACACGGAAAAGATGGTGGAGGACTGTGAGCATCGGCTCCTGGAGCTCCAGTATTTCATCTCTCGTGACTGGAAGTGAGTACTGTGAAACAAGGTTTATCCTCACTTGATGCTTGTATTTTAGTATCTGTATGCGTTAGTAACTCCTTGCCAAACAGCATTGCATAGCCTTGCTCAGAGGAGAGAGAACTGCTAAACATTCCAGATCTGGAAGGCCTTTGTACCCACCTAGAACAGGAGAAGCAGCAGCTGGTTAGAGCAGCAGTTTGTTGTTTTTTAACTTAAATTAGGTGTTCACATAAAAGGAAGGAGACAACCCTAAGAGGTTTCTCCAGCTTTGAGCTCTGAAATTCAATGCATCTTTATTTAAAAGAATTTTCTCTGACCACAGTGAAGCTGTAGGTCACTTTCTGTGTAGCCAGTTTTATCTGCTGTGAGCACTACGAAAAGAGAGTTATAAGAACAAAGTGTTAAGATCAACAAATAGCTGCTGTGGAGGGAGGTTCCCTGCTCCTCTTTCCGCCTTGCTTCATGTCCTCTAGGTGTGATGGCTGCCTGTGGAGTGATGTAATTCTCTCTGGAGCACAACTTTACCTATTTCTTCATGAAAACATGGCAGTGCTTTGTTTGAAACATCTGCAGAGCCTGTTGTGCCTGCGTGGATTGAGGTGACTGGGAGTGAGGTGTACATTAAGGCTAAGGTGGCTGGGAGTGAGGTATGCATTCAATAAACACAAAAGCTGAGGGAAGAAGAAATGCTTGGCTTTCCTTGATCGAGAGGTGAAGGAGTTGAATACACCAAGTGGAACTGCTGCAAGAAATGGGCCTCCATTGCTGCAAAGGGTACACAAATGGGACATTAAGAAAATCTGACACCCAGCTGTACCTGTGGGCAGCATTGCCAGCAGTTAAGAGCTGATATGCACTGTGAATTTTCTCCATCCAAAATGCACAAGGCTTTGTGGACCGTAGAATTGATGGCTTCGTGGCTGTTTGCTATTGACCTTGATAGCCACCTCCTTAGATAAAATAAGAATACTTAATTTTTTTCCTGTTTTTCCCATCATTGCTGGTTCTCATGCTTCTGCCATGTTTCCAGGAGATAATTTATTGAGTCAAAGAGGTGAAAGAAGGAAAGCAGAGTATTTGCATTTTGCTGGGAGTAAAGGTAATTCTAATTCCTAGTGTAAGCAGAGCACCACTGGGGCTCCCCTTTCTCATTCACCCAGTATTCCCTGAAGCTGGCTCGGATGAACCATTTTATTCAATGCCTAGTATAGATGTACAGTGAGAAAACCATGTTTTTATTCTGCTTTATTGTTTTGTGTAATTTGGTCCAGTGGTGTAACTTGATGTTTGCCTTCTGAAGTGCCGGAGGAATCTGGAGCTCCCCTTTTGGAAAGCTGGGCATCTTTCTCTCTTAACCTTAATGTCATTAGACACTGCCTTCAGAAATCTGCTCACGCAGTCTTCTCATGGGCAAAAGTAAGGGATGCTGAGTCTTCAGTTTGCTCAAGTCCACAGCAGACAATTAACCGAACTCAGGTTAATTATGAAACTAGTTTCAAAATTGGATTGGGTTGGATGGGGCCCTGGGCAGCCTGGTTTGGGGCCAGGTCTGGGGGTTGGTGGCCATGCCTGTGGCAGGGGGTTGGAACATGGTGGTCCTTGGGGTCCCTTCCAACCCAAGCCATTCTGTGATGAGTATGAAGCGTATGTGAGATGGGTATGGACCTGCTTTTGTGCTGCTGTAGCACATCAAGGAGACGATTGCTTTTCTCGTGTTCTTTGGCTGGCATGCTGTGGGAGAGAATGGGAGGTGCTTCAAGAAGCACAGAGGGTTTGATCTGTAATTAAAGGCCTTTCTGCAGGATGAGGGAATTGATTCTAACTGGAGTGACAGGCGTTGTGCTGTTCAGACACTGATGTTCCAGTGTTTGAAACTTGTAATGGATTTTTTTCCCCTCGAAAGCATTTCAGGTTTGAGCATGGAGGTAATAGCAGTGTGAGTGATGCTCTGTCTGCCTGCAGGTTGGATGTGGTCCTTTACCGAAAGTGCCAGGGCGATGCCTCCCGCCTCTGCCATACCCATGGCTGGAATGAGACCAGTGAGCTGATGCCCCCTGGGGCTGTGTTCTCCTGTTTGTACAGGCATGCCTACCGCACAGAGGAGCAGGGACGGAGGGTGAGTGCTGGCATGCAGCTTAGTGCTGTTCCATCTGTGATGTGCTGGTCGTGGCGTGCTGCAAGAGCTCTCGAATCCTTGTTGGAAGGATTTGCCTTAGGTACTGCACTAGGTCAGATGTCCAGCTCTTTGAGCGTGCCCTGTAGGGTTGTTACTGCTCTGAGAAGGCAGAATGACCGTGTCAGGATGTGACGATTGCCCACTCCCTGCATGCATCCATGCAGATGCAGAGCAAGTCCTCCTTCTGCTCTTTCCAAAGTGTAATGTGATTCCTTACAGATAGCTAGCATAGCTACAGAATTGGTTTCATGCTGAAGGGCTTTCTGAGCCTAGCTGTCTTAGGCTGTTTCTAATTGAATTTTGAATTGAATGCAGCTTTGGATTATAGTCTCTTAAATTCTTCCTATTGATACGAAACGTGCTTTCAGTTCTTTGGAGCATGCTCTGCTGCTCAGTGTACTTATGCTGCCTTTAGAGAAGACAGTAGGGATCTGACTTGCTGCCCTGCAGTCTGAAGATCCACCATAATCACATCTGCTGGGTTCAGAGGTGCTCTTTTCAATTTTGCTGCCCTCTTGTGCCTCTGTCGAGGCATTCCTTTGATGTCAGCTGGGTACTCGCATCCCATTCTGCCACTGTGCTGTACACAGCCCCTCTGAGCCAGTGGGATTACACAACAGGTTGGCTTAAAAAGGAGTTTTGCAGTTGGATGTACAAGGTCTGCTGTGGCAGAGGTCAGCTATTGATTGGCAGTGTCATCTGACTTTTAGGAATATCTTTTTTTTTTAATGCCGTTGCTTACTGTGCTGAGTGGAGACTTTCTAATTCCATTTTTATATTAGGGCTGGCCAAAAAAATCAATAGCCACTCTGCCACTAACATCGAAGAGAGAAAAGGCTTTTAACTGTTTATTTATTTATTAGAAGTTGGGCTAGGGGAGCAGCTGTCATTTTGAAAGTTCATGTTTAAAATCAAACTTATCAGAGGCTGCATCTATACTTTTTTTGCAGTGCTAGGTAGGACACACGGGGAGTGAAGCATGTGAAGTTTTAAGCTTCAAACAGAACTGTAGTTCTGCCAATGACTGTATGAATACCCCTTGGTTGCCTACATTTGGTCTCTTCCTCAGCTTTGCTGTGCTGCAGCGGGCACTGCTGGGAAGAATTTGTAGCTGGGCTTTGTTGCATCATTCTGGGCTTCTGGTTTGGAGCCATTCTTTCTTCTCTGTGGGCTTGGAGTGATGCAACACGTAGCACACGTTTTGGCTCTCTGGGCTGAGTGCCCTTTGCTCTCTTTGCAGCTATCACGGGAGTGCAGAGCGGAGGTGCAGCGGATCCTCCACCAGCGTGCCATGGATGTGAAGCTGGACCCAGCCCTGCAGGACAAGTGCATGATCGACCTGGGGAAGTGGTGCAGTGAGAAAACTGAGACGGGGCAGGTACTGCACACTGAGCAGCCCTGCTCTGTTTGCAAAGCTGGATGGGTGGAAAGGGCGCAAAAGGGAGAAATGCAGGAACTTTGTGTGGCTGGTTATCTCTTCAGAGCCAAGAATATATTAAAAATGCATGCAGTTTGAAATGGAATCTACCCTAGCCTGGGGCTGAGTCCTGGGAAGAAGCTTTGCACTGTGGGTTCAAACGTGAGTGGAACAAAATGAGGCAAAGGGATGGTTAACAAGAACTTCATAGGAGCAGCCCCACCCTGACTCTTATTTGTAATATTCTATTACAAGCTTGACATTTCCCACATAAACTTTATCCTATTCCCATCTGGCAAATACTGACATACTTCCTGTGTTTATACAGAGCTGAGCTAACATCTGCTGCTCTTTAACAAAGTTTCAACAAATACTTTCATGTTAAATTGTTCTGCCCTAGCGTGGCTGGAGGGAAGGAGCCATTCAGCAGCAGATGCCATAGAGCATAGGCCTTTGTCTTTCTGTTGCAGATGGGTAATTAACCCTTCATTGAGGTTATTGGAAGGGCACTTGAAATGTGATATTCCAGAAGTGAAAGTGCATCGCACAGCTTTTGAGAACAAATGATAACGTTTTAGACCAATGTTCTCAACCAATCCTAGGTACACACACTCTTTCCCCCCTGTAAAACAAAGCAAAACCAACTCAAAAGGCTTTAAAGGAGCTTCATGGCTACCAAAGAAAGGGCAGCTTCCTGTGTGTTGCAATATGGCAGGCCTGGATTGTGATCTTGGATGCTCAGAGCTTATGGTGAAACATCTACTTTGTTAGGAATTGGAATGTCTCCAGGACCATCTTGATGACTTGGTGTCTGATTGCAGAGACATAGTGGGAAACCTGACTGAGCTGGAGTCTGAGGTGAGCAGTTCCCAGCGTGGGATGAAGGGAAGAGCAGTGTGGTTAAATGTGCCATTTTGGCAGTACTTATTTTTTAATAAAAGGGTAGCTGAAGGAACGCAGATGTCTGGGGTTAAGCATAGAAAAGCACTGCTATCCTTTTTACCCCACGTGTTGTTAGTTTTCATGGGGAGCCCTTGAAGAAGAGAACTGAACAACAGGTAAGGTTGCAAGCAGGAGAAATGCCATCAGCAGACCAAAAGGGCTTATGGTAAAGAAGCTTTGCATAGGTAGCTCACCTTTAGTACAAGTCAAAATACATTCAGGGACTTTGGTTTCTTGTTCTGCTCGAAATTTTGAGTACCATGTTGCAGCTTCCCTCTGGGCCCCAAATACTTTGCAAGCAATAATTGCCATGCAGGACATTCAGTTTTCCAGTGATGCCAGCAGCTCTGCTTGTTTCATGAAGCTGCATGTTTGAATATCTTGCCCCAAACTGTTTCCTGTACCTCTTAATCAACATTATGCCCTAGGGGATGCTTCCTTCCAGTGGTTACAAAAGGGTTTGCTCAGAACTATCATTAATTTTTAATTCCTGCTTAAGAGTGGGATGCTTTCTTGTGCTGGAGTATCCAATTTGGAGGAAAGTGGTTGAATTATCCAGGCAGTGAGTTGTTACCTGTGGAGGCCAGGCTGTTCCCTTAAGCTGGAAGGCTTGTCTTGCACTTACTGCATTGTTGGGACCGTAGCATTCCCATAACCAAAGGGTGAGGCTGTCTGGATTGCATCTGAACAAAGCCTTCTAAACTGTTCTGAGTTGAACCCGTACCAGTTTTTTTTCAGAGCCATTTTTTTCCTGGGTTATATACTGTGAAAGTGAAGCATGGTGTGTTTTCTGCAGGACATTCAAATCGAAGCCTTGCTGATGAGAGCATGCGAGCCCATTATCCAGACCTTCTGTCACGTGAGTACTCAGTACCAGTATCCTTGGGAAAGAGTACTGTGGGAAAGGTTAGATCTTAATATCCTTGCTGTGCTTTCTGCATTTCAAAGGTAAAAGCAGAAATAAGCAGTTGCAAAAGTGCTCAGTGGAAAAACTCTCCAACAAGGCTTTGTAGCTCTGTATAGTACTTTTGCTGTAGCACAAAAACTGGAGTTTGAAGATAAATATTGCCCTGGAATTGGGAGTTACTTTTCACAGTTGATTGGAAATGAAACTTTTTTTCCTTCCTCCTGCCTTGAGCAGAGTGCTGAGCCATTCCTCTGTGTGCAGCTGCTCGCGTTGCTGAAATAGCTTCCTACATTGCTCTAGGTCTGAGTAATTAAGGAGCAGTGAGAGCACCTGACTTAGTAACTCATGTGAGCATTGCATCCCTGCATTATGTTTAAAGCATGCATATGTCTGGGATGATTCTTCTCTGAGCTGTGTCTCTTAATGCTCACGTGGTCAGTGTGTGGGAGTGTGTGCTCACAAAAGAGATGTGTAAATCCCCTTGCTCTCAGTTACTTTCTAGGCTAAAGGAACATGAAAACCCTGTCTTGTAAGGGTGGCTCATTTTTTAAGCCTTTTGTCCCTCCTGCAGGAGGTTGCAGATAACCAGATTGATTCCGGGGACCTGATGGAGTGTTTAATACAGAACAAACACCAGAAGGAAATGAACGAAAAATGTGCAATCGGAGTTACTCATTTCCAGCTGGTAAGCAGTGCTTTTCTATGCTATCAGTGGGAACTGGTTGCATTTGACGGTGTTGGCAGGAATTAGCTAATTATGACACCCTTTCCTTTTTTAAGATTGATTTCCAACTGTATTGAGGTTGCCTCTGTGAATTGAGACTGTTGTAATTGTGTGCCTGGTCAAAGGCGGTCACTTCTGGAGTGGTTTTTTCTCCAGACTTCTTCCCCCTGGCATGTGATGGGGGGTCCTTGCTTCTTCAGTGGGGCAGCATCCCTGTGACATCCATGAGAATAAGTCGTGGCCAGAAGCATTTGCTAATTGCTTCACTTGAGTGTTCTTTTAGGCAGCATGCATCATATTTCTTCACGTGACCAAAATCTCTCATTTCTTTTCGTTCCTGCAGGTTCAAATGAAAGACTTCAGGTTCTCCTACAAGTTCAAAATGGCTTGCAAGGAAGATGTGCTGAAACTTTGCCCCAACATCAAAAAAAAGTACGTAGTGCCAAACCAGACAGCATCCTAACTGTATGAACGTGTCAGAAAGTTGTGTGCAGAGGTATTTCAGGGCATGACAGAAAGCATGGGCTTCCTCTGAAGGCTGACTTCTCTGTGGTGTTGCTGGTTTGTTCATTTCAGTGGAAAGCTTTTAGTATCCTTCTCCATTGATGCAAGACCTAAATTACACATAAAGTCAATCCTATTCATGGATGGCAATACTACTACCTGCAGTTTATGATATAAATGCCCTTCTCTTGATACAAAAGGGTTGCTTGCAGTGCTGCGTAGATCATAGAATCATAGAATGGCCTGGGTTGCAAAGGCCCACAGTGCTCACCCAGTTCCAACCCCCTGCTGTGTGCAGAGTCGCCAACCAGCAGCCCAGGCTGCCCAGAGCCACATCCAGCCTGGCCTTGAATGCCTGCAGGGATGGGGCATCCACGGCCTCCTTGGGCAACCTGTTCCAGTGCCTCACCACCCTCTGGGTGAAAAACTTCCT